TGCAGTCATCTAAGTGCCTGCTAAGGTGCACGCCTGTGCGGCCATGCAGGACGCCACCAAGGGCCGTACACTTAACTCCTCCAGCCCCGGAGCTGCTGCAGTGAGGAGAGGTGCTCCAGGGCTGGAGGAGTTAAGTGCACGGCCCTTGGTGGCGTCCTGCCCCCTTCCACACTCCAAGCCCCTCAGCCCCACCCCTGCCACATGTCATCTGCATATTGGTGCACATAGCAAAATTAATTCCGCACATGAATGGGAAAAATTAAAGGGAACATTGGCAGTCATCCTGAAGTATGTGGCACTTACTCATACACATTTACCCACATAATCACCAGTCACTAAATCATCCCCTTTAAGGTCTTATATAACATTTGTAAGCATCAGTAAGAACTGAGTACAGTATGTTTCTTCAGAATATGTGTGTATAGTAATTTTCTAGCATCAGTTTGTCTGTCCTATACGCACCTATAATACCTTTATTGTAATATCTTCCTCTTTGAATCAATCAGGCAAGTTATTTATTTAGCATTAATATTTATATACTTCTCTTAGATGGGAAAAGAAAAGGAAACCACAAATATACCATTGGCCAAAACTTGTCTACGACCCCGTTTGCTACCATATATTAGAGGCCCTTATTTTCTGAAACAAAATGTGCAGCTAACAAACCTATTCTATTTGAGCATGAGCTTTCGTGAGCTACAGCTCACTTCATCGGATGCATACCGTGGAAACTGCAGCAGACTTTATATACACACAGAGATCATGAAACAATACCTCCTCCCACCCCACTGTCCTGCTGGTAATAGCTTATCTAAAGTGATCATCAAGTTGGGCCATTTCCAGCACAAATCCAGGTTTTCTCACCCTCCACCCCCCCACACACAAACTCACTCTCCTGCTGGTAATAGCCCATCCAAAGGGACAACTCTCTACACAATGTGCATGATAATCAAGGTGGGCCATTTCCTGCACAAATCCAGGCTCAAATAAATAGGTTAGTCTCTAAGGTGCCACAAGTACTCCTTTTCTTTTTGCGAATACAGACTAACACGGCTGTTACTCTGAAACCTATTCTGTTGCCCAGAAGATTCTAAACAGTGAAAAAATAAGACACAAATATCTGTATCAGAGGGGGATACAAATTCAGAGATAAACCTAGGCCCCAATCCTGCAATCAGATTCACAAGAGTGGATCCTTCCATCCATGTGGATCCCCATTGATTTATAGGGGTACAGACTGTCTTTATTTTCTCTAGACAGCATCATGTAAAAATAAGTAACATATTATTACTTAAGCAGGATGGCTTGCCCCATGGACTGGAGAACCTGCAGGTAAGCCAGCCCTGATTAGAGAATGAGCCTCATCCAGATGCTGCAGGGAGCAAAAGGACCTCAAGTCAGCAGGAGGGAAGTTCAGGAATCTGCAGGAAGACCGAAAGGCTTCTGGAGGGAAGACCCTGATATCTGGGGGCTTGGAATCCAGAGGCAGAAACCTGAGGCTTTGGCCTGGGAGTGGCCTACCAAAGCAGGAAAGGCCCCAGGCAGGAAGGCCTGGGACTAGTAGCGTGAACTGGAGCATGCTGGGAGTAAGCAGGCTTTTGCAGAAAGACCTGTATTGTGGGGTTTCCCTACAGACACGAAAGGGAGGAAAAGCCCCGGAATGACATGACAAGAAGGTAAAACCGGTGGACTGTGTCTTGGGACTGAGTTTTATTTTGGAGCATTATTTATGTAAATAAACTTGGACCCCTGAGAAATGGTGGTGAATGGACAATAAAAGCTTGTGCAGTGTTTATTTAAGAAGCCCTTTGAGGGGAAAATCATTGGCGGGTAGGGTGACCAGGTGTCCAGTTTTTGACTGGAACAGCCGGTCAAAAAGAGATTCTGGGGCTCCGGTCAGCACCACTGACCGGGCCGTTGACTATCTGGTTGGCAGCGCCGCACAGCAGGGCTGGCAGGCTCCCTGCTAGCCTCGGTGCTCCGTGGCTCCAGGGAAAAAGCAGCATGTCCCTCTACACATAGGGGCAGCCGGGGCAGGCGCAGTGTGTAAAGTCCCCAAGCGCCGCCCCCACAGCTCCCACTGGCTGGGAACCACAGCTAATGGGTGCTGCGGGGGTGGTGCCTGCAGAGGGGGCCTGGCCTGGCCATAGGAGGGACATGCCGCTGCTTCTGGGAGCCGCCTGGGGTAAGCACCGCCTGGAGTGTGCACCCCTTAGCCCCCCCACTCCCCAACCCCCTGCCCCAGCCCTGATCCCCCCTCCCGCTCTCTGAACCCGTTGATCCCATCCCAGAGCACCCTCCTGCACCCCTTATCCCCAGCCCCATCCCAAAGACCGCACCCCCCGCTAGAGCCCTCACCCCCCCTGCACCCCAACCCCCTGCCCCATCCCAGAGCCTCCTCCCACACCCTGAACCCCTCATTTCTGCCCACACCCTGGAATCTGCATCCACAGCCCAACCCCCTGCCTCAACCCAGAGCCCCCTCCCATACTCCGAACACCTCAGCTCCACCCCCCATTCTGGAGCCCCCTCCTGCACCCCAAGCCCCTCATCCCCGGCCCCACCTCAGAGCCTGTACCCCCAGCCAGAGCACCCAACCCCCTGCACCCCAACTCCTTATCCCAGCCTGGAGCCTCCTCCCGCACCCTGAATCCCTCATTTCTGGCCACAACCCAGAACCTGCACCCCCAGCCCACAGCCTGTACCCCCAGCAGGAGCCCTCACCCCTCTTGCATCCCAACCCACTGCCTCAGCCTGGAGCTCCCTCCCGCGCTCTGAATGCCTCATTTCTGGCCCCATCCCGGAGCCCACACCTCCAGCTGGAGCCCACACCCCCTCCCGCACCACAGCCCCCTGAGCCAGCCCAGTGAAAATGAGCAAGTGAGTGAGGGTGGGGAGAGCGAGCAACAGAAGGAGGGGGGAGATGGAGTGAGCGGGGGCAGAGCAAGGGTGTTCAGTTTTGTGTGAGTAGAAAGTTGGCAACCCTACTGGCAGGGCACTACAGCAGCACTCCTGGACATAATGGGTGCATGGGAGGTGGCTGACCCTACTACAACTTCTGCAGCAGTGGTGAGGTGAGTCTCCAAGGGTCAGATTTTTAGACGTATTTAGGTGCAGAGGTGTGCCTAGTGGCATTTTCAACGGAGCCTATTGCCTATCTGTCTCTTTAAGCACTTACCTCTTTAAGCACTTTAACGTACCTTTAAAAACTTGGCCCCAACAGCTGAAGCTAAGATTCCTAAGCTAATTGCTAAGAAAATTTATACATACCAGTTTAGAATAAGAACCAAAACCCAAGGGCCTGATCTTCATCTGACGCAAATCAGCACTGCTTCACTGACTCGGGAACTACACCAATTTAAACCAGCTGAGAATCTGGCCAGCATAAGTAACCTAAAAAAAAAAACCTACTAGCTATGAAAATGTCTTCTGAACTAGCATTTTAAAACTGAAGAGGATTCCTAAACGTTCTGCTTTAGCACTAATTATGTTCTTAGTTTAACTGCCAATGGCACATACTATTAAGATCAATTTGTATTTTAAAATATGTAACTTTGTTAGTCTGAATATTTGACTTCTATTGAGATGAAATCAAGAAATCTCATCTTAACAGCTCCCAGATCAAGCAACATTTTCAAAATTATGAATGAAAAATGTTAAACCAGCATTTTCAAATTTTCAGCAAATAATTTAAGAAAACTTCTGGCAAACACTGCTATTACCTCTTTCTGATTATACCACTATCATACAATCTTCTATATTTCCTCAATCACAAGTTATGTTAACAGGTTTCTGAGTAACAGCCGTGTTAGTCTGTATTCGCAAAAACAAAAGGAGTACTTGTGGCACCTTAGAGACTAACCAATTTATTGGAGCATAAGCTTTCGTGAGCAACAGCTCACTTCATCGGATGCATACTGTGGAAAGTGTAGATCTTTTTATATACACACAAAGCATGAAAAAATACCTCCTCCCACCCCACTCTCCTGCTGGTAATAGCTTATCTAAAGTGATCACTCTCCTTACAATGTTAACAGTGAGAATTTGGAAGCTTTAAATTTTCTTCTTTATTGCTCTGTGTAATGCATAGGAATTTGGTCAACAGATTCAAAAGTAAAAAAACCTTAATAAAAAAAGACTGTTGGAATAATGCAGAAAGACTTTGGATCTAAGAGACTAAAAAAACCTGGATCTTAATAGAGGTTTATTCCATCCATCTAACTTAATCATTTTTATAGTGCCAATCATATTTGAAGAGCTGGACCAGAAATCTATTAAAATCTATTTTTTAATTATTCCTCTTCTGGTTTTGCCTTTTAAAACCTCTTTGCTGACCTGCTGTCACCTTCCCCTGAGTCCTCAGATAGTACAGCTATGACCAAATTAGAAGTCCCTAAACAGAATAGAAAGCTGCCCCTGGACTGTAGCAGTCTCAGTAAATATTGCAAGGATGATATAACTCATTACCCCAGCCAGGCCCGCAATACTATTTACATATAGCCCAATTCCTAGCTGAAACAGCAGAGCAGAGCAGCTGTGACAGGCTGAAAGCAGGAGTTTTTTAAGAGTCTAATTGAAGCACACACAAAAACCCTTCATTTCCCAAACGTGTGTGCTTTAGCAGGTCTGGAAGAGATGTGTGTGCACGGATAATTTGGGTTTTGAGAGGGTGAGGCACACAAATTCACGGAGGTTGCAGTTCTGATTCTAGCTATCACTTACATCAGGTTCACACCATTGACATCAGTGGAGTTACTTCTGCTTCACACCAGTGGGAAACCAGAATCAGACCCTACAGGGTTGCACCTGTGCAACCGAGAACAAAATTTGAGCCATTGATTTAAACGGAGTTAATCCAGATTTACACCACTGTGAAGTAAAAAAAACCTGGCCCTTTAGCTGGCCGTTTAACAGCAATTTCCTTAAGTACAGGATCAAAGGAGTTTCCCCTTTTAGCGTCTTTAGTAATGCTTGTGCGGGAGGAAGGAGCCATCTCCTACCGTAACTGCTCCCCAGTGAGCAAGACTTCGGCCATGTGCTCCAGCTCAGCAGCCTTCTGCTGCATGCTGCCCACGTCCTCCTCCATCGCGGCCAGCCTGCCAGGGACATACACAACACAAGAGGGCTAAGGGAGGCTGCTGCTCTCAGCACTGGATGACTGGGCTGGTTTAATTGTTAAATGACAACTAGGCTAGGTTAAATGACAACATAAATACATCCCAACCTCCCCCCCCAACCTTATTAAAATCCCCTTCCTTCCCTGCAAACCCAGTAACTAAACATATCCTTAATCTGCATCGCACAAAGGGAACATTTCCGTCCAGTTCTAGTCTCCTGCAGGGTCTGCTTCGTTTTAATTAAGTCCCATCGATCGGTTACTTTGATTGCGTTTCCCAGCGCTGCAAAGCTGCAAGGGTGATTCTTATTTTGCAGCACATCGTTGCATGGCTACTTGTCTGGCTTCTCAAAAGAGAAGAGCTGCGCTTTTAAATTCCCGCATACAATTTATTTTTGACAGCTCATTTTTGACACACGCTTTCTGCTCAGCTTCCCTTTGCAAAAAGCCTTTCTGAGAGACTGACTTCCCCGTCTGCTGGTTCCTAACAGAAGATCCACGCCTCACTTTCGCTTACCTTGATTGTGCAGGTCACCTTTCCTTTGTGGAGATAAAGAAAGATCCCACCAATTTCCTTGCTACTGTGTCACAGCCAGAGAGAGAGAGAGAGACACGTGGTTGCAGCAGCAGGTCCAGCCAAGACAGCAGCGTCCCCCTCTGTCTATCACATTGCTCGCAACTACTTCCTCCAGCATGGAAAAGACTGAATGTCACAGCGAAAGTCGTAGCAGACAAGGTTTGAGGGCGGAGGAGGGAGACCCTATGTTTATCACAGGCGACCTTTTAGACGGCAGAGTGCAGCCTAAGCTACCGAGCAACAGGAGAGGTGCTCTGAGGACTCAGGATACAGCTAACACACCCTCCCCTGCACCCCACCCTCTTGCAAGGAAAACTCCAGCTGTTCCTGTCCTCACTCTCCATACAGAGTTTTCCCTTCCTGCATTTCTTTGTCTACAGCAACTAAAAATAAGGGGGTGGGGAGGAGGGAGGGGGAAAAGAGAGAAGAATAAATAGATATCCTTTAGAACCAAATTCCCTGCCCTACTCCTCTAATTTTGCCTTGACCCCTTGTAGTGAGCACAGAGCTCCCAGTGTGATCCTCCTCCTAAATCACCCTAGACTTTTCCTTCTGGGGCTCTTTCCCTTGCTCAGTATAGGGGTCTTTAGTGAGGGAGCACTAGAAAGCAGAAACCCAGCCAAGTGTATAGAATTGTGCTAGTCTGTTGCAGTACCTGGTTCCTGACCGAAGTACAATGCCTCTCAGGTTGCACAGAATGTACCTTGGCAGCTATCCTTGGGTAGTTGCAAAGAGGAATCTAAGTCCAAATTCTAAGCACTCCAGCCTATAATCTGAACTGCCCCTTATCTCTAGCACTTTGTATTCCTGGTCACCTGTTAGGCAAACTCTAAGTAGGGTATTCATCAGAAACAGCTCCCCACTCCCAATTCTTTGCATACCCAGTCAAAAGGGGGTGCTAAATTCCAACAAGTACAGAAAAAAAAACAGAAACTTCCCACATGGGAGACAGATTTCAAGTGCACCTATAGTGCATCTTGCAGAATCTGCTTTCACCCCACTCACCTAGGGTTGCCAACTTTCTAATTGCACAAAAAGGAATACCCTTGCCCTGCCCCTGCGCCCCCCCACTCTGTCCTGCCCCCCACACTCTGTCGCTCGCTCTCTCACACCCTCACTCATTTTCACTGGGCTGTGGGTTGGGAGGTGGTGAGGGCTCCAGCTGGAGGTGCGGGCTCTGGGGTGGGGCTGGGGCCAAGGGGTTTGGAGTGCAGAAGGGGGTGCGGGTTCTGGGAGGGAGTTTGGATGAGAGATGAGGTTCTGACCTGTAGCAGAGGATTTGGGGTGCGGGCTCCGGCTGGGTGGCGCTTACCTCAGGTAAGTCAGTGGTACAGGGGGCTAAGGCAGGCTACCTGGCTGCCCTGGCTCCACGCTGCTCCCAGAAGCGGTCAGCATGTCTGGTCCCTAGGCAGAGGCACGGCCAGGTGACTCTGCACTGTGTGCGCTGCCCATGCCTGCAGGCGTCACCCACGTAGCTCCCATTGGCCGTGGTTCCCAGCCAATGGGAGCTGCAGAGCCGGCGCTGGGGGGAGGGGCAGCACACTGAGCTTTTCTGGTTGTCCTGGCACCTATGGGCCGGACGTGCTGGCCACTTCCAGGGAGCTGTGCAGAGCCAGGGCAGGCAGGGAGCCTCTTTTAGCCCCGCTGCGCCGCCAACTGGACTTTTAACTGCTGCTGACCGGAGCCGCCGGGGTCCGTTTTCAAACAGGCGTCCCGGTCGAAAACCAGACGGCTGGCAACCCTACACTCACCCAGTAGTGTCCCTGCTCCAGAGGGAGACATGACTTTGGGAATTTCACCAAGCCTGACACTGCTTCCTATACAAATTTCAGCTGAATGCTCTTTAGTTACATGATGATATTCCTTTTTATTCCAGCCCACTTCAGGAGGATGAACTGGCCAGTGTATATTTTGGTTTCTTACCTTTTCATGAATTCATAGACTTTAAGGCCATAGTGAACCATTTTGATCATCTAGTCTGACCTCCTGCATAACAAAGAATTTCAGCCAGTAATTCCTAACTCAAAACCATATCTTGTGGTTGAGCGAAAGCATATTTCAAAAGAATGTTACATAGTTTAAATTACAGAGCATTTCTGTATAAAATGTGAATTTGGCTGACTTTTTTTTTTAACTTAGAAATCTAGGAGAATGTCATTTTCTGTTCAGAATTATCTAAAGATTATGGAGTTGCATTTTTGTGCGGGTACACCTGACATCCAATTTATCACTTGTTACACATGTTGAAATTGAAGTTTCTTACACTATTTATAGAACATTACTGCATGGATGGGAAAGATCTGAGGGTATCATGTTAGAGTGCTTCCCACTAAATATATATTCCCATATTATGCATTTGTATCCTTTCCTCAACATTCTAAAAGGGTAAATGTTTAAGCAGGTAAATTGTGACTCTGGGATTAACGAACTAGCTTCGTCATGCAAACGAGGAACTCAGAACACTAATTAAGAAGCAAACTTTGTGAATAAGAACTTGAGTATCACCTATCAAAGAAAGGGGTTATTTTCACACAGGCAGTAGTGGATACTGCTTTGCACTCTACTTTCACCATCAGTTCTCGGGGTTGGCATGAGTGAGCATACATAAATTGGTTAGTCTCTAAGGTGCCACAAGTACTGCTTTTCTTTTTGCGAATACAGACTAACACGGCTGTTACTCTGAAACCATACATACACTCTGTCTTGGGGAAAGCTCAGAATGATGAAGACATGTTTCAGGCACATAGAACAGGTGGAGATCTCCGGGTGGCACTGTGGCAGAAAGTGCAATGGATGGGAATGGTGTGATAAGTAGAGCAACCTGTTTTAAATACTGTTCAAGGAAGACCTTTTTGCAAACATTTGTTAGTCTGTGACTTTCTCACAAAGAGATGGTTACAAATATTCATGTATTTGTCATTTCTGCTATGTGATTAGTCATGTGAGTCACATAATATTGTTTCTCTTTCCCTGATTGGATGACTAGAACTACATAAGGACAATGACAGAACAAACCATTAAGGTATTGATTATTTAATGGAAAGGATGGGGGAGCTCTTTAGAGAGAAAAGGCATCAGATAAATAGGGTGAGGGATTTTAAACCATTTTAGTTTTTCCTCTCCTCTTTTTCCACGAGAGCAAGTATTATGTGGACCTCAGATTTTAAAATACCTGGTTCCTCCCTCATCGAGGGAGACAGAAAAATATAAACCAGATTTGTGGCTTTTCAGCTTTACTTTTATTTTAGCACAGATAAAAATTAAGTATATTTTTGATTTTGTATATATATATATTTTACATACACACACACACACTTATTTGCAGAGAATACAGTCACCTATTGTTGTCTCATAGCTGGCTAATTTTTCAAGTGCCAGGGGTCTGGCCAGGTATTGCCAACTCTCCCCTATACTAAATATAATACCTTTTCCCATGGACAGATTGCATTTATTGGTGTTCATTTGTTGTAACCTTCAAAACATTGTTAAGACAGTATAGTTTTCCCACTAAACAAATCCAAATTAGTCAGACACATCAGTGCTTATGTAATTAAAAGAATGGAACACATTAGGTTTCTAGGCTAAGCTGTTTGAGACATGTGACAAACCACAGGAAAAGTTAAGAAACTATCAAACAGAGAAACTGCTTATTTTAAACTTCCCTATCTCTAAAATATACTGTATAAGATCAAAATTCTTGCAAAGTTCATCAATAGCAGATGACAGTTTAAATCTTGTGCTGATTTGTTCTACCTTTTGCAAAGTTAGAATTGGGGTCTTATTTATTTAAATTCTTATATTTCACCCATCACCATAATAGTATCTGAGCTCTGATTGAAATAGAGCTTTGACAGGAAAGATAGTTTGATCCTTAGCTGTGTAGCGATGAGTATTATCCGTAAAACAGACAATTATGTATATTAGCAAGGCATGTACTTCTTTTTATATTACCAATTTGTTAGTATTATATGATACTTAATTTTCTCACAGGCTGCAAGTGGTGATTAATTTCAGAAAAGTGGCAAAATACTACATGCGGATCCAAAATTGCAGGACATAGAGATACACATACACAGATATAGACTCTGTATGTTTTATACCGATGCTCTTGAACTTTTAGAGGCAGATTGTCAGCTGATTACATGCTATTTTCATATTAACATGACTGCATGCTTCACAGAGTGTTTATATTGTTGTGAATATCATTAGGTAGATTAACTGACAGGAAAAATGTGTTTAATCTATTAATAGATTAGAAAAAATAATGGTTTAGTGGGGATAAACCTGATAGAGACAACTTCTTAAAACTCAGTATGCCATAAATATGATTTCACTGCTATTGACTGCTTTGCAAAGTACATGGAAAGCTTTTCCAATGAAGAAGAAAGTTACACCTTTAAGTGTGCAAAAATTAACCAATTTGGTTAATCCAGTCCATATTCACTGATCAAGGTAAAGGATTTTTAATGAAGCAACATTATAGAAACCTATTCTAACCTTATAGTAAATTATTTCTAATTAATAATGTGACTCAGACATAATATATCATGTAAAAATCATGTTTTGCGGACATTTTCTGAAGTGACCGCTGGTATCTGACATTTTATTACAAAACAAACTCTATCCTCCTTCCCATGTTGATGAATGACACACTAGTCCATGCCATGTCGATTATCTTGACTACTGTGACCTCCTCATCACTCGTTTTCCTGATATTCATATTTTTACCCCTCTATCCATCCAAAATGCAGCAGCCACATATTCCTGGCCTGTTTATAAGATGGTTACTTTGCTCTTTGAAGCATTCCACTGGACTCCCCTTACCCATAGACCAAGTTTAAATTACTACTCAGCCTTGCCTTCAAACAACTGTGTCCAAACGTTTCCACTCTCTCTTTGATCTGCCAATTATGCCACTTGTTTCTTCCACTCATGTCTTCATACCACTCTGCATTAAATGATCTCCCAAATCCAGAAAGTCAAGGAAGTCAACAGAAACATCAGAAAGCAGTCTGTTAAATATGGGGGAAGATGCCTTAGAACTAGGGCCCTACCAAATTCACAGCCGTGAAAAACACGTCATGGACCATGAAATCTGGCCTTCCTTGTGAAATGTGGTCTTGTGTACTTTTACCCTACAGTATACAGATTTCACGGGAGAGACCAATGTTTCTCAAACTGGAGGTCCCGACCCAAAAGGATATTGCAGGGGCAGTAGTGGATTAGCCACTGGGCAGATGGGGCATATGC